ATCACCACAGAGACCTGGGCATCACCACAGAGACCTGGGCATCACCACAGAGACCTGGGCATCACCACAGTTGAAGGGTCCACTCAACTGCCGGTGATGAGGAGAGTCACGTGATAAGAACATTTCCTCCATGTCCAACCCATAGGATAGTATCTAGGCTCCAGGAGCCAGTTACTCCTGCAGTATCTAGAAGGGGCCCCCAAGCCTTGACGCCTCACTCCCCTATTTCTTTTCCAGTATCCACTGGAACCCACCATTGACTGTGGCGCTCTGTAGATGTCTCAGTGACCGTGTGACTGATATCACAAAACGTCAAGGTTAGTGGAGAAAGGGAGACAAAGCCAGATGGTTTCAGGAGCATCAGCCTGTAGGGAGCCATGGAGGCCTCAGATGGGTTTCTGAGGAGCGGGAGCCTCCCTTAACAAGGAGCTCCTGGCTGCTTCAGGACTCCTGTGGCTTTGGGGCCAATCTTTTGCCTTTAGAGCTACCCGCAGAAACATTTAGCTTCATCTTCATTAGGTCATGATGAAACGGAAGGTCTGAGAAAGGAAGGGAACCCTGGAACCTTATGAGACATCAGGAGCTCAAGGCAGACCTCATTGACATAACAACATGTATGCAAGCATGGCTGTCAACATCCTGCAGGTGTGCTCAGTCAAGACGAGTGTACGTTCACACTTTTGGGACTATGTTCCACAGATGAAAGTAGCTTTATATTCTGCAGAAGAAGACAGAGCCGAATCCTTGACTTTCAGGGGCTGAGCGAGCTTGAAGAGCAGGGGCCATTCAGCATCTGCACTCCTAGAGAAGAGGCAGAAAGTGTGTGTGTGTGTGTGTGTGTGTGTGTGTGTGTGTGTGTGTGTGCGCGCGCACACACGTTTAGTCTCTATCCCAAAGCCTGCTGGATGATGGACTTGAGTCCTTGCTGGTTCTTGACTCTGAGCAAGTGACTGGTTTCCTCATTTGTATCGGCCTCAGAGACACGCAGTGGGGCAAAGTCTGTCCCAGTGAATGTTTACTTTAGAGACACATTGGGATTCTCAGTCCAAGTCACACTCAAGAGGATCCGACTGGGACAGGTCAGGGGACCCTCCCACTCTGGGTAAGATGTGGGCATGCTGGGAGACAAATTACCTCGGGTGCAAGGGGTGACTGGGGGCTGGGCCTCAACTGCCTAAGAGAAAGCTGGTCTCAGCTTCAGAGGATGAGCGTCCCAGATGCCAAGAGCAGCCTGGTGGCATGCAGTGTCTTCATGTCATCTCAGAAGGCTCCACTTGGAGGATTTGTTATGGGAGGAACTGGGCCCTTCCCAATTTATATGTTAAAGTCCTAACCCCGGGACCTTAGAATGGGACTATTTGGAGACGAGTGGTTAAAGTGACTGTTAAGGTAAATTGAAGTGATTAGAGTGACCTTGGTCCAATATGACTGATATCTTGATAGGAAACCAGGACAGGGAAATACAGGAAGCTATCCGGGGGGTGAACACAGGGAGAAGGTGACAACCTCCAAACTAATGAGAGAGGTCTCAGAAGCCCCCAAGCTGCTGACCCCTTCACCTTGAACTTTGCTGTTGTTGTTGTTTTCCAAGACAGGGGTTCTCTGTGTGGACCTGGCTGTCCTGAAACTCACTCTGTAGACCAGGCTGGCCTTGAACTCAGAGATCCACCTGCCTCTGCCTCTGCCTCCCAAGTTGCTGGATTAAAGACGTGTACCACCACCTCCCAGCTCATCGTGGACTTTTAATGCCCAGCTCTGTGAGAAGGGGTTTGCCCTTTGACTGGCCAGCCTGTGGATTTTGTTTTATCAGCCACGGCTCCTAACACAAGCTCGACGAAGAACATGCCAGCAGCCGAGAAGGAGCCAGGACCAGCATTTCCCTGTGTCCTTTCTGGGGACCCTGAGAAGGAAGCTTCCCCATTCTGCATTCTGAGGGCCCACCCTCTTTGGCCTTAATACACAGGGCTGCCTTCTTGCGGGTTTATGCTGTGGGGAAATGGAGGGTGACACTTCCCATCCTGGGAAAGCCAGGCTGTTGATGGGGTTGGAGGCCCCTGGATCTGCCTGGCTCCAGCCACTCCAGTTACTCTCCTGTTATCCGGGTTGGGGAGCTGCCTGGGTCTCCCCTTGAGGCCCTGTGAAGAGTCAGGAGTCAGGCCAGGCGTGGCCAGGGGAGCAGAGGGCAGCGCGCATGCGCTCTGCCTTGGTAACTGGGATGGGTGTGGGGACGCTCTGAACTCCTCCGCCTCTTGCCCATGTCAGCTCCGGCATGACACACGCACAAAAGGTACCTTTTACAGGTGGGAAATTATAGGTGCTACCTACTTCAAAGGCCTTGGCAGCCAGGGCTCCTCTTTGATAGATGACAGTATTGTTAATGGTGATTTATTGCCGGGACCATTTTGACAACAGAAATAACCAGTTTCCCCACCTTCTTTCTTGGCTCCCTCCCCCCAACACCTTGTGGTGCCTTTTTTTTTCCCCTGAGCTGGGGTAGGATGGAGGTTACCTCCCTTACCAGGAGGCTCCGGGCATCTGTTGAATGCACACAGTGAGGTATCTGGCTTATTAACTTGTCATCGGGTGTCATAAAGTTTAGTGACATGCTGGCAGTGTATAATCCTAAACAGGGCAATTACCCTGTGATTACAGCAGCTTTCTCTTGCTTCCTTCTCCCTCTCCCTTCTGGGTCTCTCTGCCTGTCTTCTGGGTTGTGTAGTTCTTATCTTACCTCTACCTGCCTCAGTCAGAACAGAAGTCAAGCCGTTTTGCAATTCCAGAGTGAACCAGGCTTTGGCTAGGCACAGCGTGGAGGAGCTAGGGCCTCTTGCTGCTGCCAGAGTTGTGGAGCGAGGTTGCTGGGCCAGGGGCAGTGGCTAGCAGGGGTTCCACTGGGTTCTGCTCCTAGGCAGTGGGGTAGGAGCTATGAGGCAGAGCTCCCTGGGGCCCGGGAGGCAGGGCCCACAGGGGCCCGGGAGGCAGGGCCCACAGGGGCCCGGGAGGCAGGGCCCACAGGGGCCCGGGAGGCAGGGCCCACAGGGGCCCGGGAGGCAGAGCTCCCTGGGGCCCGGGAGGCAGGGCTCACTGGGGCCCGGGAGGCAGGGCTCACTGGGGCCGGGGAGGCAGGGCTCACTGGGGCCCGGGAGGCAGGGCTCACTGGGACCTGAGAGGCAGAGCCCACTGGGGCCTAGTCCATGCATGCAGGCAGATTTCCTTCCTTCTGGGATTTATCTTCCCCTGCTTTCCTTTTCCTTTTGCTTTCAGGTTGGAACCAGGGGTAGAAAATAAAAGACGGAGGTGGCAGAGGCGCAGTGGGGACCTGGACACAACGACACGAAACGGGCTGAACTGTGTCTCCGCGTCCGCTGCCCCCGTAGTTGCGGCCGTTGCCCATGAGCGAGGACTGTCATTCCTGCCTTGTTTATATGACACAGGTTTAGAGAAGAGCCAATCAGATAGTGGGTAGGGAAGAGAACCGCCGCCGCCACTCAGGGGGTGACTGCCACCTCGCACAACATGCCACAGGGGTTATTTCTGTCTAACCGAGCCCCTGCTCTTATTCCAGAGGAGCAGAAGTGATACTCTGACCAACCACAGGCGGCACCTACGAGGACGGCCCCATTAACTATATTGCCTGGTGACGTCACGGCCATCTGAGTTCCTGGGGCTGACTCCAGATGCTGCTTGCATGATGGGGAAGCCACGTGACATTTGTCAGCCCCCGCTCCTCCCGAAGGGCTGCCTGTTTGTCAACAGGAATGTATTCCGTTTCTTGAGGCTGTGATGACCCTGGTTTCTTAATCTTCCTGGCAGGTATGGTTTGACTCCCGCTCTGAACAATGGGAGCTTTGAGGCGCACTCATGATAAACAGTCGGTACATGCTCGGTACTGGGTTAAGAACACAATACCTAGTAGGCTGGAGGAGAAACTGAAATAAGATCTGAAAAGGTTCTTAGAGACTCTCCAGCTGAATCATCCCATTTTATAGCTTTGTAAATTGCATTCAAAGAAGCCGTGGGGACAGATTTCCCAAGAGCCATCGGGGAGGACTGGGGTGGAGTTCCCTCCCCTGGCTCCTATAACAGTGTTGTCCCTGCCCAAGTGTCTGTATCCGAGTCCCTCTCTTCCTGGGAAGGAGCATCCTCATCAATCAGCTGCCAGAAAAGCACCCGCATCTACACCTAAGTGTGGATTTGCTCAGTGCTTTGTTCTTCAGGGATGTGTGTGTGTGTGTGTGTGTGTGTGTGTGTGTGTGTGTGCATCCATGTCTCTGTGTGTCTCTCTGTGTGTGTCTCTGTGTGTGTATCTCATGCGTGTGTCTGTGTGTCCATGTCTGTGTGTGTCTATATGTGTATCTATGTGTCTCTCTGTGTGTGTCTGTCTGTCTGTCTCTCTCTCTCGGTGTGTGTCTGTATGTATCTATGTGTCTGTGTGTCTGTAGAATAGGGGACAGAGTCCAGGGTGGCCCACACGTTAGCAGACATTTCATTACCCAATTGTGAATTTCCTCTTCAGTGACACAGAGCTGGGCTGTGTTCCCTGTCAGCGGAACTTCTAGCACTGGTGAGCAGAGGGGCAGTCAGGGACTTATGATCCTCACCCCTTAAATTCTTGCCACTTGCCTACCCCCGTTGGGCAATAAAGGCTGGGCACTGCTTCCTGAATTAACCGCTCAGTGTCTGCAGTCTGCGGCCTGTTTATCAGCAGTTGTTGGAGAACAGGACTGGCTGAATGATGGAGTCAGACTGCCTTAAAAATGGAAAACCTGCAGACAGGTTTAAAAACAGAGAGCAGACAGATGGAATGAAGTGGCTACCCCCCAACCCCCCCCCCCCCCCCCAAAAAAAAAAACCCTCACCACTTTCTGGCCTATTTTCTGCTTCCTTTCCCCATGGTTGGAGAACACTAGAAGACGCATGAGAACTAAGAACTCTAAGGTTCAAGTGTCTGACACAGGCTGTTTCTGAACCCCCACTGTGGACCTGGTATGGTACCACCTGCAGGGTGGCGAGGACGAGGGACACCATTCTAACCGTGCGGAACTCAAGCCTCGGGCCGCACACAAGGCAGAGGAAGAGACTTCTGCTGCAGAGCTGGGCCTCCCAGCCGTGGTGTGCTTTCTGTGGCTTACTTCGAGCGTTGGGTGGCGTGCAGGGAGATCGAACTGAGAACGCGTACCGGTGGAACTTGCTGGAAATGCAAAGAGGGCAGAAGAGGTTTAGAAGTCGTCTGAGGCTTTGCATCGGAGAGAAAAAGAGATAGAGATGCTTTAGAAAGGACTCCGGGAGCTTGGCATGAGGTTGGGGCAGAGACGGACATGCAGAGGCCCCAACACTGGGTGCCACCTGAAGATCCTGAAGAGGTAAAGAAGATCCAAGGCAGTGCCGCTGCTTTCCCCTGCCATGTGTGTGTGGTGGGGAGTTGGTGGTAATGGATTTTCTTCTGCGTGCGTGCGAGAGAGAGAGAGAGAGAGAGAGAGAGAGAGAGAGAGAGAGAGAGAGAGAGAGAGAGATATTCTGATGTTAAGGCACTGACTCTACCTCCCCTGGGGACTTTGCCAGGTCAAGGTACAGGTCACAGCTTCATTTTGCCCTCTGGAAAGTTAAAAAAAAAAAAAAAAAAAAGATGGCATGGTTTTCTCTGTGCTGGCAATTTCAGGCACCTTGACTTAATTAGCCACCAACCAACTGTGTGATCTTGTACAAGTCGCTTCATCCCTGTGCCTCATCTGAAAAGCAAGGTAGGACCACTGCACTGGGTTGCTACTAAATAGTAGAGTGATGTCATGGACAGTAGGTATTTTGTAAACTTGACCGTGATATACACAGGTTACTGTGTGTGCTTTGATAAGGATTCGGATCCTGTTATCTGAATATCGACCCTCTTCTCTAAGCAAAAGGTTTCTGACTCTGGACTGCCTGCAGGGACCAGCCGCTTGGTTTATTGAGCAGGATGGGCCCCTATTAGGGAGATCTCTGCTCTTGTACACACACACACACACACACACACACACACACACACACACACACACACACTCGTTACTGAGGATCGTACTACACTCCCTCCTACCCCAGGAGGGCACTGCTCCCAGTTCTGTATGGAAGCGCCTTACCCAGCCTGGCCTTGGCCAGCCCATCTGGGCAGACCTTAGAGGGGTCTAACCTGAAAGGCAGCTTTTGATAACACAGACTCAAGATAAGAGGGCTAGGTGGGCGGAGCCCTCTCTCTCCTTGGATTGATAACCCGCTGTGTAGCATCAGTTCTGGAATTGCTAAATCCACCCTTACCCCGCCGCCGTGGGAGATTGCAGCTGCACATCTTATCTGAACAGAGGCCATTTCGTGAGCACGCGTGGGTGTGTGCAGAGCGGAGGGGAAAGGAAGTGTTGCCAAACCTCCAGGCTGTTCAGTCAGTCCCCCCCCATCCCCCACCCCCGCTCCTTCCCATTCCCAGGTATATCGGTGTGCAGCCTAAGGATGGGCTGTGCCCTCTGAAGCACACTTTAGGTGATTTTTGTCCCGAACCATCATGGAGTGTCAGTCACCTGACACAGCCTCTTGAAGCCACTGAGAGACACTATCGCCATGAGATATCTGTGAAGCCGCTGTTGGTGTCACCCAGCCTGTTCTTTGGCAGAGCACATACTGAAGCAATGAAAAAGTCAGTTTAACGAACGCAAACTCAGTAACAGAGCTGTTTGTGGTTACCAAGCACCATGTACTGTGGATGTTATACGTCCATTACTAACACCAGCCGTCCCACCATTTTGCCCTGATGTTACAACGGCTACAGTGTCTCTAAGTGTTGGAGACTCTCAGCTTCATTGTATCCTTTTAAGACAGCCATTCAGGCATGTGGATTTTCATTGACGAAAATGTCACAATGGGTTTAGCTTAGACATGTATGGGTTTTCTGTAGGGCCTAGTAGATAGACCTCATGAAACATCGGTGGTGACGGTGACAGTGATGTCCCCTTAAGTCAGGCTCTTGAATGCTCCCTCAGAGACCTCATGCTATAGGCTCAGCTCCTGACCCTGACTTGGGACATGGTGGGACCTTGATAAGTGAGGCCTCGTGGCAGGAAGTTAAGTCATTAGGGTGTGTCCTCAAAGGGGATTTGAGGGATGATGGTGTCTTTGCTTCCCGGCTGCCATAAGTTGAGTGGGACTTCTTTGCCACACACTTCTACCATGATATTCTTTCTGTCTCAATGACAGGCCTCCAAACAGCGGAGCCCACTGACCATAGATAGGAATTCCCAAGTTTTTAGTTCTTCCTTTTAAGTAGATTTTAGCTGACATTTTTTTTTTTATCACAGAAGTGGAAAACTAACAACAATGAAGATTCTAGCTTGGGAAAGGGACCCTGTGCGTGCATGTATGTGTGTGAGTATGGGTGTGTAGTCTGGATATGAACCTTGGGTGCTCTCTACCTATTGTTTGAGTCAGGGTCTCTTCCCTGGGACCTGAGACTTATTGATTAGGCTTGGTTTGTTGGCCAGCGACGCTCAGGGATCTGCCTATCTCTGCCTTCCCAGTGCTGGGATTATAAACACATGCCACCATATCTAGGAAAGCGCTTTACTAATTGTGCTATAGCCTCTTTAGTAAGTACCAATTGATCCATCTCTCTAGCCCTTTGGTAAGGTCTATTTAATTCAGCTAGTGTTTAGCATATGCTTATTCTTTCTCAGGGCTAGGAATGTTATTATTTGGGAAATATATGTAAGGGGAGAACATGAAGGACAGGGTGGACTCTTCTTTAGAGCCTTGGTAAGTCCAGGTTGGCCCTCAAACCTGCCTGGCTCTCTGACTCAGTGTTGCCCTTTGCTGCTGACAAAGGTCAGGATGGAGGTTAGGCCTGAGCAGAAGTGGTGGCACAGAGATGAGCAGGTTGAGCTCCCCTGCAAGGACAGGGACGGGGAGGGACTGGGATAGAAAGCGGAGCCTGTGGTCTCATAGCTTTAACCTGGGCACCGGGAAGGTCCAAGTAGAAATGCATGCCCTGGCTGCCTTCTTGGAGGGAATGGGTGTTAGAGCTCACAGGGACCCAAGCAGGGGTGTGCTGTGGGATGGTCTGTATGTCAAATAAAACACTGATTGGCCAGCGGCTAGGCAGGAAGTAGGTGGGACAAGGAGAGAGGAGAATTCTGGGAAGCAGAAGGCTGAGGCAGAGAGACACTGCCAGCTGCTGCCATGACCAGCAGCATGTGA